TATACTCAGAGCGGTAGTTACTCTAAATACCAACAGAGAGGGAAAGAGTCTTTAAATCAAGTTTCAATATTTTCCACTCTGTACACAGGGTAGATAGGAACGGGCAACTTAAGACATTGGCTACCTAAAACAAGGGGGCAATAAAGGCACGAAGTGACTGGCTTACAAGGTTTCAAGAGGGAGCTTAGTTTAAGAGTGTGGGGGGAAAGCAAGAGTCCCCACTGAATAGCTGTCATCTTGTCTAGATGGGTCTGGTGAAAGGAGATGGGGATAAGATTCGTAAGATTCAATAGTGAATAACTGCTATCATGACTAATCACAACTGTCACACTTGTAGAGGTAGAAGTTTTGTAACAAAAAAAGGGGAGTGGTTAATCTTACAGTCCAGAAACAGAGGCCCCTAGGACCATCAAGAGAGAAGCGCACAAGCAGAGTGCAGGACCTTATCCAGAGAAGCAGAGGTGGAGGCAGAGATGGGGACATGGAGAGGGGGTGCGGCTGAGGACTCTAGATGCATTAACTAAGAAGAGAAGGACTAAGAACTGGTGGCCAGGAGCAGACTTGCAGAATGTGCCCTTTGGAGATGTAAATTATTATATATGCCTGAGTGGAAAGAAAAAAACACTAGAGGAGATTAAAAAAAAAAAAAAAAGACATGGGGTCTTCTTACTCTTTCTTGGACATGGCAAGCCCATTTCTGTTTAAAGGCCTCTGCAGTGCTATGCCTCCCTCCTGACACAATGAGTTCTTTCAGAATTTTGCAAGGTTTTTTCCTCCCTCACTTCATCCAGATCTCTGCTTAGATGCTAACTTTGCAGAGAGACCTTTCCCAGAACCTTATTTAAAAATCAGTGTCTCCCTTACTATTCCTTCACCGTATACTACTTCATTCTTCTGTACCGCTCTTAGCACAGCCTGTTAATATGACCAGCATCTAGGACAATGCCTTTCAGTAGGTAAATATTTGTTAAATGTTATTGCTAAGTGCTGTAGAGTCTGTTCCAACTCATAGTGACCCTGTAGGAGGTTTCCAAGGAGCAACTGGCGGATTTGAACTGCCAACCTTGTGGTTCGCAGTCAGGTGCTGATCCTCCAGTGCCATACCAGGAGTCCATTTGTTAAGAATATGTATTAATTTTATTCTCATCAGTGTTGACTGCCATCCAGTTGGCTCCTACTATTGGGGACAGTGCACACAAAACACTGCTTGCTCAGTGCTACATTACCCCCATGACAGATTACAAATTAGACTGCTGCTGTGATCCCTAAGCTTTTCACTGGCTCATTTTTAGAAGATCACCAGGACTTTCTTCCTAGTCCATCTCCACTCAAATCCTTTCAGCATCACAGCAGCATACAAGATTCCACAAAGCAGATGCACCTGCGCGTGAGGCATACTGTCTGGGAATCAAACCCAGCTCTCCTGAAAAGAAAGTGAGAAACCACAAATGCCTTACTCATTCTCATTGTTGTTGTTAAGTGCCGTTGAGTTGGTGCCAACTCATAGCAATCCTGTATAAGGTTTCTATGGAGCAGCTGGTGAGCTTGAACTACCTATCTTGTGGCTCAAATCAACCTTGCAGTTCAGTGCATTAACCCACAGCGCCACACCAGGACTCCACTCGTTCTCACTGGAGTTACTCAATTTAAAAGCCTTTGGGTAATTTCAGAGCAAACACCCAAACTCTGATCCTTAAGTAAAAACAATATACAAAATCTTTTTAAGTGTTGTCGAATTGATTCCAATCCATAGCAATCCTGTACAGAGTTTCTGTGGAGCAGATGGTGAGCTTGAACTGCCAACCTGAAGTTCAAAATCGACCGTGCAGTCCAGTGCATTAACCACACCCAGTGTCAGTACCATCAAATTGATTCCAGCTCACAACCCTGAGTTGGGTTTTTGACACTATAAATCCTTATGGGTGCAGAAAGCCTTATCTTTCTCCCGCTGACTGGCTGGTTCGTGGGGCTGAACTGCCCACCTTGCAGTGAACAGTCCAGTGCCTACCCAAAAGTTAGCAATGCTAGGTCTCCCCTATGAATTCAACTATAAAAAGCTACTTTCTCCAGGCAGGTCTTGCAGCAAGCTAAATCTTGAAATCAAGGGGCAGGAAATGGTCTAAGCAATCAGAAACTCTTAACAGTAACACAATCCTGGTTAAGACTGGTGCGGCGCTCTAAGATAAGCGCTGAGCCACAAGGTCGGTTTGAACCACAAGGGGGGGTGGTTCAAACCCACCAGTCGCTCCTCGGAAACCTTATACAGGATCGCTATGAGTCGGAACCAACTCGACGGCACTTAACAACATGGTTTCCCGATTCACAAAAACCTAGTATTTCCAAACTCCCCAAAGAAACTCTCAAAAGTTATGACACTTTGGGGTTCTTAACCCTTTTTGAGCCAAGTGTCCTTTTTGCCAGTCCGATGAAACCTATGGACCGCTCTTGAAAGTGTTGTAAAATACATATAATAGTTAAAAAAGAAAAATTTTCTACTGAAATACAAGATCGCAGATTTATGAACCGATGTGATCTCAATTGCCATCGTGAAAAAATTAGACGAGAACATTTGAGAGGTTCACGAGCGGCTCACGAGGGAGACAACGCCGCGAAGCCCACCCCAGAGCACATCCAGGTCCCTCGGCTGTGATAGCAATATCCGGGGTGCGGGGACCCAGGTAGCCCCGGGGGGCGTGTCTGAAGTGTGCAACACGGAGGGCAGGGCCCAGGTCTGGGAGAAGAATTCCTCCGAGAACACGCAGGACCGAGTTCCCCACAGGCCCGGGGCGCCCCCGCCTCACCGGTCCCCGCCGTCCCCAACAGCCGCTCGGGCACCCCTTGTAGGTCCTCATGGAGGCCACGGAAGATCTCGTGCAGCTTCTCAAAATGCTCGGAGGAAGCCATTGTGCAGAACGTGCTTGAGTAGCGGCCGCCTAGATTCTGGGCGCGGGGCCGCTCCTGTCTCCGTCATCAGCCACCCAGCCCCACAGCCATCACTGCGATGGCCAACGCCGCCGCCCAGGACCAGGCGCTTCCGGGGCTCGAGGCGGGGTCCTCCCAAGCGGGAACGCCTACTCCATCTTTCGCATCTTGGGAGCGCCAGGTTGAAAGCCTGTCGGAAAATACAGGGAGCTGCGCAACCCAGGAGTACTGCAGGAGCAATGCCGCACCTTGGCGAATGGCAGTATCGCAGATACCCGGTTCAGGGTTGTATGGAACGCTAAAGAGAAGCTTCCCGAAGACATCCGTGGAATGGGCAGCGCGGCCATCTGCCTCACGGGCCCCGCCTGCCGGCTAGGGGACTGACGCCGCAGTGCATTTCGGGAACTGTAGTTAGAAGCGAAAGACGCTCTGCTATTTGCATCACGCATTGTTCCGGGTGTGTGTCCCAGATTTAGAGTTGCTTGCTGTCACAACTTACCTGTAAATGGCTATCATTCCACCCTCTGACTAGAATCTTAGCTTTCAACTCCCAAAAGATAAACAGGCCTTAGTCCTTCATGTCTTTTCCCTGGGCAGTGTGACCCTAAAGTCCGCACTCAGGTTCTAGCTGCCGACCTTGCTCAGTGTAGCGGGCTGCCAACTGCGAAGACTTTATGCAAGAATCTGGGGGTATGTTGATGAATAAAACAAATTTACTCTCTATCTTTTAGTACTTATAACCTGGGGGGACAATTAGACCCTGTAGCCGATCTCATGTGTCATTAAGTGTAATGTATTATTACTTTATGGGCATTTGGTTCCGTGGCAGGAAATTCCTATTTTCAGTTATTTAATTATTTGCCTATGAAGCTAGTTCTGCAATACTTAAACTGCCTACGAATGTTAAGAAGCTTACCAATGTTAGGGGCAAAACCATTTGATAATGTCTATCTCTTGTTGGAGTGCTGATGTGCGCTGAACTGCAAAGTCGATTTGAAAGGTCACCAGCTACTCCTCGGAAACCCTATACAGGGTCGCTATGAGTTGGAACCAACTCAGTGATCTCATTTTATGTACCACAGCGCAGCAACACACTGCTGGGTCCTGGGCCAATCTCACAATGTACATTTGGGCCCATTGCTGCTGCCACTGTGCCCTCAGTCCATCTTGTTGGAGGTTTTCCTCTCTTCTGCTGAGGAAGTATGATGTCCTTCTCTAGGGACTGGTCAGCAGTATAAATCAGCAGTATGGTCTGGCCATCCTGACTTCTAAGGTGAATTCTGACTGTACTTCTTCCAACACAGATTTATTTGGTCTTCTAGCAGTCCATGGTACTTTTTTTTTTTTTT